TCATTTGGGTATATGATTATTTTCTGGTGGGTTGATGGAAGCTTGGAGGAATCTGTCAATAGGAGATGCAGGCTGATCTCTGAGGTTGTCTCAATGCCATAACAAAGTCAGTCTTGTCTAATTCTGTAATTGTAACTCTGTCCTCTGGGAGAGGTGGGAAGCTGACCCACAGAAGTTAGCTTAGATTACTGTTAAAAAAAATGCCGGTGAATTTTTTGCAGCTCTTATATATCTCATTGTTTGCTTTCAGAAAACTGACCAGCTGACACCAAGATCATCAGGCGTGGTCATAGTGGGTTCCTTGGTCCTTTCATTATGTAGATTCCTGTAGGGTTTTAAGAAAGAGGAGGAAATTGAATAGTTGAGTTCCAGCTTTGTCTTCCTTGTTTAGCTTAATTCTGATTGACATTGACCTAAGGGAGGGAGCCATGGCCTTTGTCATTTGGGTTGATGGGCTTAAATCAAGCTGCTGGCTCTTGTGTTGAAGTAAATAAACTGGAATGGAACTACTGTTTTCCATCTGAACTGTATTCTCAATTCCCTATTTTCTTGCATCTCTGTGGGAATTTTCTAGTGCAATATTTGCATTGTAGGAGTTTGTTTCCCTTTGATTAACTTTCTACAACACTCAGCTGTTCTAAAATAGGAAGGAAGAGCTGGAAGATGCTGTCATCATTAAAAACACAGAATAATTTCTTCTGTAAACAAGGCAATGGTTCTGTTTACTAAACCAGATTAAGAAAGACAGTCCTTCTTAGTGAAGACTTTCTTGGCTACAGAACTTTCTCTCAAACACAGAATGAAGCCAGGCAGTAGGGAATGGGATGCTGAGAAGATACTTATATAATTAAAGACCATTTGATGTGTCTAAGGGCTGAGTTAGGTAAACTCTTAATGATTTGTTGTTTGGAGCTGGTGTAGACCCATTATCACCTGTGTGCTAAGCTAAGTGTCCTACCTAAAACACTGGAAGTTGTTACAGATCCTTTATGATCCTGTTTGAAATGATGCTGACTTCTTGTGTTTCAAGGATTATTTTTTTTCCCAGGTTGCATGGGTATTTTTGTAAATATTTTGAAAATGGAACAATTTCTTTCCTCCTCTGTCAAAAATGCTGTTATGAATAATATTTTTGATTTTTAATAGATCCTTTATGGGCTGCTTTTCCTTGTCTCTTCTCTGTTTTGTAGCTTGGTCTGACTCTTCAGCGAAGTTCTTTCTTAACACTGAAGTCAGCAAAATCAGCAAGTTAATCAGTTGCTAATTTAGCAACTTTATCTGAAGAGCTGGTTATGTTTGGTTTAACAGAAGTTTGTACTGATGGAATTGGGGAGTAAGGATAAATGTTTTGGCAAAGCTTTTCAAAGCAGGAGGGGGTAAAAATACTAATAGTGAAAGGAAAAGAGCTGCTAGAGAGTACAGTGTCTTTTTTCAAGTAAATAATAGCATCACTTAGGTTGGAAAAGATCGTGGAGTCCAGCCATGAACCCTGCCCTGCCAGATCCACCACTCAAACATGTCCTCAGGTGTCACATCTAGATATCTTTTAAATACCTTTAGTAATGGTGACTCAACCAATTCCCTGGGCAGACTATTCAGTGCTTGACAGCCCCTTCAGAAATTTTTTTTCCTTAATACTTAATTTAAATGTCCACTGGTGGAACTTGAGGCTGTTTCCACTTGTCCTGTCTCTTGTTGCCTGGGAGAAGAGTCTGACCCCTCCTTGCTACAAATTCATTTCAGGTGGTGTAGAGAGTGATAAGGTTCCCCACTGAGCTGCTGCTTCTCAGACACTTCACCAGCTTTGCCCTTCTCTGGACTTGCTCTGGCACCCCAGTCTCTGTCTTGTAGTCAGGGGCCCAGAACTGACCACAGGGCTCAAGGTGTGGCCACACCAGTCCTGAGAACAGAGGAGTGAGTGATCTCTTCCCTCATCTTGCTGGCCACACTCTTGCTGATCCAGACTAGAGTGTCGTTGACCTTCTTGGCCGTGTGGGCACACACTGGCTCATGTTCAGCAAATGTTGACCAGCGCTCCCAGGTTCTTTTCTACCAGGCAGCTCTCCAGCCACTCTTCCCCCAGCCTGTTGCGCTGCTTGAGGTTGTTGTGACCCAGACAGAGGAGTTCGACTTGGCCTTGTTGAACCTCCTCCAGTTGGCCTTGGCACATTGATCCAGCTGATCGACACTCCCACTCAACTTGGTGTTGCCTGCAAACTGACAAACTCGATCCCCTTGTCCAGACTATATATTTTCTTTAAGAATATTAACAGGACTGAGCCCTGGGAACCTCACTGCTGATTGGCTGCCAGTTGGCTGTAACTGTTTGCTACTGGGCTCAGCCAGCTTTTTACCCAGTGGAGAGCACACCCATCCAAACCATGAGCAGGCAGTTTCTCTAGGAGAATGCTGTGAGAAATGCTGTCTAAGGTTTTACAAAGGACTCTCTACATAGCATACACAGCCTTTCCCTCATCTTCTGTGCAGGTTACCTTGTCATACAAGGAGATCAGGTTGGTCTAGCCAGACCTGCCTTTCGTAAACCCATGCTGCTGGGCCTGATTCCTCACTTGTCCTGTATGTGTCTTGTCATGGCACTCAAGATTATGAGCCAGTTGCTGTTAATGACATTTGGCTGATCCTAGTAAGTGAGTTTTCCTCTTATTTTTGGAGTTTCAAAGAAAAATTCTTACTGAATTACTGCAAAAACTTAGAAATTGCTCCAGAAGTTGAGAGTGACTGTCAAGACAAATTTGCAGTGACCCTTCGAGTCAAGGGAATTGGAGCTGTAAAGCAGCAGTGCTGCTTCCCAAAGAGATTTGAAAGATCGGAATTGCAACAGCTACAGTCTATGAAGTATTTCCTCCAGAGTGTAGAGCAGGATAGCCTGTAGGATATACGTAAGATTGATGAATTTTACCTGGTTCATTGCATGGCTTTGTTACTGGTAGGTACTGTTATAAAAGCACATCTCTAACTCTAGAATTAAATTCTGGTGAAATATATGAGTGGAAAAAAGTAAGGAAGTAGTGAGTTGTTGCACTCAAGTAGTCACAACACTGTTAGGGGAGAAGTGGAATACTAGAAGGCTGTACCTGTCAAGTAAATTTCCATGAGAACTTGTGGCTGGAATGGCTCTTTTGGACTTTTACAAGATTAAGCAACAGCAGTTCGTTCATAGCTACTGAAAAGGCTGCTCACTGTGTAAGATGTGAGCAGTACAGGACTTGATTTTCCTTGAGTCTATCTTGCTAGATACATGAGCTTCTGATATTCCTCTGTTTTTCTTTTTGTAGGCTGTGCAATGAGATGAAAACTCTGTTTGAAAAATGGGCATTTTCTCTGATGTTTCTCCATAATTTCACAAGTTCAACAGTGAAAAAGTCCTAACTTTTCATCCTCATTTTGCAATGTGTGAAAATAACATTTTTCTGTTGTTTGACCGGTGGAGTTTGGCTTGTGTCAGGAGCTGAAGACTGCAGACATAAGCAGGTAGTTTCAGTACAGCTTTAAGTGTCAAAACTGGACTTGAAGAAGATTTGGTGATCCTAAAAAAAGAGATAAAAACTCTGTGGCAGCTTATACCCTGTTCTGTTTCATCAACATCAACCTGTCTGCCTCCTGCGTTTGTGCCAATGCTTGTTTAACTGTGTAATTATGGAAACTGATAGTGCATGGCACAAGAAGCAGAAGAAGCATAGGTACACCTATAAAGGCAAGCTGGTTTCTTTGGTCTGCCAGTGGACAGAAGAGTTGTATTCTCACATGGCCTCAGTGAGAGCCTGGAGTGAACCCATGTTTCTATGCAGAGTACACACATGTGGTAGGTGGAAAGCAGCATTCAGCTCCTGGCACTGGGTCTTTGTGTGAGGAAACCGATGTTGAGGGATCACCTGTTAGACTTGTGGTGGTAGAAAATGTCTGTAATAACAACAACTTTTCTTTTGTAGGTTTCCATATGCTTTAGAAAATGCTGATGCGTTAGTTAATCTTGTGTTTCAGTTTCTTGTTTTGTTTTTCTTACGTTTCAGGTTTATCAGTCATGAAACGAATTCTTCTGTTTTTTATCCTGGCTGCTGCTGTTATGTATGGTATCCTGCATGGAAATCTGTGGAGAAATAACTTCTACTGGTATGCTGATGGTTTGTTGATTTAGAATGCAGATACCACATGGTTGTATGAGAGATGTGGCTGTGAGTTTGTGTTGCTCTGTAAGTGCTTACTATAATCATAAGTGATTACTACTCTGTGTGTGTTGTGTTTTGTAGTTAAGGTCTTTTGGTACTCCAAGGGAATCAATATGATTGTTCTGTCCTGTCACCTGTTCTCGTGTGTCACTTTCAAACCTTGTAATTACTTTGAGCCTGGTTGTATGGAGAGGTCAGGACCTCAGTGGTAGGGAGCCCCTCTGAGGTCCATGAAAGTAGGTATTCAGATGAGGAGTTACATGAGGTGCAGAAATGAGGTATCCACATCTCCCTCCACCCCAGTGGGTTTAGTGTTAGTTTGTTCTATTAAATGTCTGGTAAGTGATGTGGAAGAGGCCTTCTCCACACGTGGGAATAACTGTAGGTGCAGGGGTCACCTTTTGAAAAGCTGAAATTTGTTGAGGCCCAGCAGCCCTTGAGGGCAGCGAGGCTTCACTGTTTCCAGGCTCACAGGACAAGTGGCTTGGGACGTAAAATTTGGGGCACTTACTTGAAGAAGTTGAGTTTCCATTGGTCTTAGCACAGCTGTGACCAGGACTGACCAGAGTGTTATGAAGATAAGTGGTAATTTTTTCAAGTTAATGTGCTCCCTTTATCTTGTTTATGGTGTACAATTGATAAAAATAGCTTTCTGTTGTGGTTTCTGTTTACAGCAAACCACAGTGTTTGTGACATTTCCCTTTTTGCAGGATTAGCTTTTATGGACAGACTTCCTCTGTGAGGGCTTCTCCTTCCTATGTGACTAGTGGAGTTACAATCAGTTACGATCAGTAAGTTCAGCAGTTGAGTATTATTGTGGTGTATTGTGTATTTTTTTGTTTCAGATAGGTGGGAGGGATTGAGGCTCAAGTCTGTAGCCTTTGTGCGTAGGCTCCCTGCTCAATTGTACAGTTGGGTCCTGTGGCTGCTCCTGTTACAGACGCAGTGGTAAGGTGTCTGTCAGAGAGGAATGTGTCCATGTTATGTTTCCAGTGTTTGTTTATGGCCACTTCCAATAACTATCTCTAACAAGCATTGAACTGTTGGAAGAACATTGGCTTACAGTTTTCAAATCTCTGCAATTCTGAGTTATACCTGAATAAAGTTAGCGCAGCTTGGCGGCAACTTCAGTGCTTAAAACTTTACTAAACCAGAGGTGTGTTCCACTTGTGTTCAAGTGTGTTTATAGGCAGCTCTTGGGCTTGTGACTTCCTGCAGTTAGATTTGTGGGACTAATGAGCACCTGTGCTAACACTTGACAGCAGACCTCTCTTTTCTCTGAAGCTGTCCTGCAAAATGCCGTTTGTGAGGCTGATGCTGGAAAGCAACAAGGTGGCCAGCTGATAGATTTCACAGGGTGCTTTCTCAGCGTCACTATTCATGTAAGAACTTGAGGTTACAAAAATCAATTAACCTTAATGGTCTCTTTGGCTTTTGGTTCTAATGTGGTGGTTTCATCCTTCTATCCTTCATGCAATCCAGAGGCACATGTTGCTCACACTGAACTTCACCTTCCCTTCTAGGTTTCGTATTTGTGATTAATTGGGCTAAATCTCCAAATTGGGAATATGCTTAGAAGTGTAAGTCTTAGCCTTAATATGAGTGCAATGACTTATCCCCAAAGAAACTAATTTTCCTTAGAGTACTATATTTCCTTCTCCAAACAAGACTTACCTCCTTCCTGAGGAGTGATGGGGATGCTATCTGGAATGGCTTCAGGGGTGATTGAGCCGAGGAAGTCCTTGCTTCTCTGAAGGTTGGCCTCACCTTTGATTATGCCTGTTTTGATACTTGCTGAGCAAGGGAGGTCACAGCCCCCTTGGAGCAGCAGTGTGAGTAATTGCTAGTAATAGTAATTGTGCTACAATAAGAAAGTTTCAGCTCTCTCAGGGGGAGGTCGTAATGAAATCTTGGTGTGATCTTAACTCAGTAATCAGCTTTTACTAATTTGATTTGTTCAAATTTCCCAATCTTGTTTCTGCTACTCATTCCTGGTCTTGCTATTTATTTGGAATTGGTTTTTTTGCAGGCTACCACCTACGGCTGTAGAGAGGAGGAATGCACTGGACACTTGTCTCCTGAAACCAGCATTTGAATCTTTACTGGGGTGAGTCTTCTGTGGGAATTGAGGGGGAGGGAAAGCAAAGGCTGTGCTGATTGAGGTAGAATTGGGATATTTACACATTTGGGAGCAAATGTTGAGTAGTGCCCTGAGAGAGCTTGGAAAGATTAGACCACGTCCTGGCTGAAGGAGTCTTAAACCTCTGCACAAAGACACTGTGGCTTTTTTTCCCCTGGTACTTCTTGTATTTAAGAAAATGTGGCTATAATTTTAATGCTCTTGTGGGTTTTAAAGCACATAGAAGCACGTAAACTTTGTGCCACCCAAAGCAGACTTGTAGTCTTCAAGTTTTGGTCAGCTCCTGATCCAATGAGGTGATCCTATTTCCCTTTCCCGTGGACTGTGCCAGGGCTGTCTATGTGTTGGGTGCAGCAGGGTAGCTCTAGTGTTCAGCAAAGGAGCAGGAATGGACTCAGAGGTACACAGCAAGAAGAAGGTACGTGCACAGCTAGGACAGTCTCACGTATTTCTGTAGCATCTTTATAGAGATGGTTTCCATGAGCTGAAGATCTGTTCTGTGCACTTGGGTAATAGCCTGGGGAGGTCGAAAGGATTTCTCACCTCACAGAATTATTTATTGGAAAGGAACCAGAGCTGCAAGAGCTAGAACTAAGAATCTTTTCTCAGTAAGTAAATTATTTATTCTGTCTGAGCTTACCAGCTGCTTCTGAACAGCACAGCAAGTTACTAAATTTAAATGGGTATTTAGTGCATCGTGTGTCAAAGCTAGCTGGTCTTGCTTAGTTAAGCTATGGCCCATTTCTCAATGTGTGGGCTGTAGTGTTTTGGTTTTGGGGTTTTTTTCCCTTTTTACTGTCAATATCTTCTGAATACACAGAGCTTAGAGAATGAGATAGTTGATTAGGGAAGCTGAAAGAGAAGGTTTTCTTAACAGCTGTTAATATTCTTAATGGACAAACAAGTCTTGCTGACTGGGGGTTTTTATGATTAACATTTGGTTTTCTAATGACTGTATACTTCTGTGTTAACATTGTAATCTAAGATATAATATGCAGGATCATTACAAAGTCAGCCAGTACACTGGGTGTGTGCTTAGTTAATTCAAAGGTGAAGCCAAGGGCATGATAGCACCTGACATGTTTGTGTCTGCTGTTCACTCATTTTGCTGGACTTGGCAGTGAAAGTCCCTTTCCTGCTATGAGAGACCATTTTCTGTGGCTCCTGTCTTTTGACAAAAGAATTGACCCATTCTTTTTAGTTTGGCACTTAAAAGGTATAGTGCCATCATGTTCTAGTTTGCAGGAAGAATGTGCTTTTGAGGGAAACCTCCTTGTGATCCCCACACACCATGCTTCTCATCCCAGGATGGCCCTGGTGTGAATGCACTGGAATCCTTTCAGACATCTCCTTAAGCCAGAAGATGCACAGCAGGAGCACAGCCCATGTGCTGTAGCTGCTAAGGGCTAGGATCTTACCAGAGTTAGTCCAGAATATAAAATACCCAAGATGCATGTAATGTGGACATGACAACTCCATATTGTTTTGCTGCATGGATACATCCCAGTTGTCCCAAACAACTTACTAATGTCAACACACTCGTATAGTGCCACTTGTTAGGAATAGGAGTGCAACTCAAATCAGGAGATTGTATTCTGAAGTTAAAATACCTTGCTTCAAACTCTGTTCTTACTTATTAAATAGCCATGTATAATAATAACTGTTAATTTTCCTTGCTATCTCTATTACGTACTTTTCAAACATGAAGTTTATCATGGTTTCCTTGGGTTATGTATTCTCTTAAATACCTGGTCTTGTGGTGTAAGTGTGAGTCACACTATTTTAGTGAGTTTATAAATTGTACGAATAGACAAGTTTTTTATCTCACTCTCTGCTTATATTTTCTGTTACAAGATCTTCCCCTTCTCTGTCATCTGTTTGCTTTTCCTATGTTAAGAGATTTTCTTCCTTTAAAAATGGATGATAATATGATAAAATGGTAATAGTAGGATAAAGAGTTTTTTACAGAGCAATTGCATGACTTACTGGCTTATGCAGGTACATCCTGTGGATTTTGAGATTTCTTTCTTTTTTCCTTCATCAGTGTTGACAAAATATACCCGTTCCTGTGCGCTAATGATTTTATCAGAGTGGCAGAGTTCCAAGGGAGCAATAAGTTTGAACTACCTTATGGAATAAAGAGAGCAGGTTTGTATTTTCGATGTACCTTATTTTTAATCAGAAATACCTAAATGGCTTGTAAAGCCACCTGAATCTCTGGCCATGATCTTCCCTGTGCACTGATGCTAATCCTTTTGGGGTGTCTAGCAGTGTCTTAATGGTTTCATTCAGTCCCTCTGACCTGACACCTTTCTGTTTCTAATAAGTAAAACATTGGGTTGAGGTTGCCCCTCTTAGCAGAGAAGCTCCAAAAAGGTACGAGTGAGGAAGAAAGGACCTTATTCAGCTTCCTTCTGTTTGTATATAGGCTGGAGTGCTAAAGATATTCAGCTATGCTTTGCTAGGGGAAATACTGAGTCATTGTCATGGGCTTCAGTCAGCACACTTAAACTGGTTGGAATCCAGAGTCCTACTGAGGCAGAAGTCCTCAGGTTTAGGTGGTCACATCAGGGCAATTTTCCTTTTACTGTCCTGGTTTTGACTGGAATAGAGTTAATTTTCTTCCTAGTAGGTGGTATAGTGTGTGTTTGGGATTCAGCATGAGAATAATGTTAATGACACATGAATGTTTTAATTGTTGCTAAGTAGTGCTTCCTCTAAATCAAGGACTTCTCCATTTCCCATGCTCTGCTAGAGGGCAGGTGCAGAAGAAGCTCAGGGGAGGATTGCCAAGGCAACTGACCCCAGCTGGAAAACGGCTGTTCCATGCCATGTAACAGACTCAGTATTTAAACTAGCGAGGAGTTGTCTGGGAGGGGCTGGTTGCTGCCTGGGAGCTGACATCAATTAGTAGGTGGTGAGCAGTTGTATTCTGCATCGCTTATTTTTCTTGGGGTTTATTCTCCTTTTTCTTGCCTTTTCCACACACGTTTTACCTTTTTCTGCTTCGCCTGGCTTGTCAAGTGGTGGAGACTGAGTGGCTGTGTGGCACTTACTTTGCCATCTAGGGCTAAACCACGACACTGAGCTAGATGCTTCTGCCAGGGAAGGTGTTACAGGGGCCAGAAGGGGAGTTGATGACCCTGCCTGGCTGTTGGACCTGTGGAAATGTTTGCTGGTGCATTCCCACTGCCCATGTTGGTCAAGCCAGAGTAAATAGGGCCGACACCCTAAGGGCTTTAGCCACCCTTTTGGAAAGGGTTATAACGTCTCAAATTTCAGAGTTTCTAACACCAACAATGCCCCTTCTTAGTCTGGGCTTTAGACTTTTGATTTGCCCTCCATCAGTGGTAACAGGGATGGTGCATTTTCCTGCACTTCTGGGTTACAGTGAGGAAAACTACATTTGGGAATGAGTTGATTTCTCCTCTGAGGCAAATTAAGTGTCCAGCAGGAGCCTGCCATCAGGGGTGGGCTGGAAAAGTGCTTCTGTCCAACTTTGCCACAGCCTGCATTGATGTCTTCTCCAAAGATACATAATGCTGTTACTGTCCCTGGCTGTATGAATCCTCTTGAGTCAGCTGGAGGTGGGTAGAAGAAAAAACAAAGTCAGTTAGGTGGGATGTGGATCTTGGAAATACATCCAGTTCTTATTTACTGTAACTAAGATTTTTTTCTTTAAAATGTAAATCTCATGCTATTTTGTATTTTGAGGCAGAAAAGACTCAGAGAGGAGCTGTGAATAAACCTGAATTTCTTTGGCATCATTCCACTAAATTCCAGGTGTTCTTACTTTGATGTTTTTATGCACAGTGCACTACTGTGTTTAAAAACATTGTGGTTAGGGTGACATGCTTATTTATATATTGCAAATACTGAGTGTTTTCATTGATCTTGTTTATATTTGCTTTTTAGAGCAATTTTTTCGTTTAGCCCTTTCAAGACTGCAGAACTGTGGCCTTTCCAGTGAAGAAGACAGGTGAGATGGTTTATTTGCTACTGTTTCTATTAGTTGAGTTTTTAATATTTAGTACTGACCTGAAAAGGAATGTCTGGGGGGTTATCCTAAAATTGCTCAAGTTTGTTAAGACATGGAGCAGATTGACAGGGTCCAAGCAGTGTGTAGCTGATTGCAAGGTTTAAGTAGGCTTGGTTTTACATTTCAATAGCACCAGCATGCAAGAAAAATTATTCTGTGAGAGAGCTTTAACTTATGTTTCCTTTTATAAATGTGTTAGAAACTTGCCTGCTGAGTTCAATCGCATTTTCCTGTAGTATCTTTTTATACTTAGATTGAATATGAACTCCTCTTGCAAATTCAGTGAAAGATGGAGAATGTTTGAGATAAGTAGGTGCAAACCAGTGTCTGCTTCTGTGTTCCTACATACACTCAACTTCCTTTCCTTGTGGATAAGGGAGACCTAGGAAGACAGGAAAGGCTGTCTGTCCGTTTGGGAGTAACAAGGGTGTGGCATGAAAGGGAGCATGCCTTAGATAACGTGCTTCCCGTGGATTAGATAGATTAAATTAGATTAAATCTTTAATTATAGATTAAATCTCTTGTTGGAAGCCACATCTGCCAGGAAGTTTGGTTTTGTTTTGAAGGGCCTTTTTGTTCGTGCGTCTTGTTTTTTGCTTGGCTTTTGTTGGGATTTTTTGCATGTAGGGTTGGCAAGTAGACTGAAGTCCTGTGTTCAGAGTGATGCAGATGAGTCCTTAGGTTTGCAGTCTAGCAAGTGGGCTGAGAACCTGTCAGATGTGATGTTAATATACAAACTTCTTAATAGAGTTGAATGCAAACAATGCTGACGTTGGCTGTACTTGGTTTTGTTTTTTAATTGCAGAGATCATACAAGATGGCTGCTATTGAAATAGCAAATATCAGGATTCACTGTTTAATTAAACTTGGGTGGAATATGTTCAAACTTAAGAATTTGTTTTAATACAGTTTATCTTTTTTGTTTTTCCTTACTGTACTCTTTTCTTTCTCTGTGTTTTCTCTGTTTCCAGGATGTTCAGGTTTACTCTTAAGGAAGGAAGAAAGTAAAACTGTATTTTCTATCAGGAGTGTGATAATGCGGTAAATTTATAGACTTGGCTGACAGAAGCTGCTCTTTTGTATGGAGTTTGAAGGAGAATGCCAAATGTTATATTAGAAATTCCCTGAAACCATAACTTCAGGACCATACTTGTTTGTGCTGTAAAGCAGATATGCTTGTACCTTTTAAATGGAAATGCCTGTCCTGTAGATGAAAAGTGAGGAAATTAGTATTCGTCCTTTGAACGTAGATTCTCTGAGATGTAGATACGGTAGATATAGTATTAGTATTATATTCTTAAAATATGTAGATATAGTATTCTGGGAAGTATGCTTCATTTTATTAAAAGTAACATACTTAGTGATGCTGAAGCAAAATGAGAGCTATTAATATTTAATAGGCAGTAATATAAACAAATCAAGCATACAATGACTTCGTATAATATATTCTTTCTAGATCCATCAGGTTTTGTGTACAGCAGTCTTAGGTCCTGAATCACTGTAGTTGAGAAGAGTTTTTATGCATGTATTTCACTGAGATACGGTGGCTTTTGAAAGTGAAACTCTTTAGGAATTGATGCAAACAACATTCTCCAGTAACATAGAATTATTAGGTAGCTCTGTAATGCTGTTGTTCAATTCAGCCTTCTTGGCAGAACACAAATCAGATTATAAACGTTTTTTAAGGCAGACAAATATTAGGCTAGATAAGCAGGAAGTCTGTGGTGCTTATATAGCTGTATTTGTGTGCAACTTGGGTAAATCTGTACTGACTGAGCTACAAAGATTTTTTTTTTCCAAAGAGTGTCAGTTTCCAAACTTAGGTCAAATTCTCACTGAGTTAAAGTTGTGTCTCTCCCAAAGAGTTTGGAAATGAACAGTGTCACTGACTTCAGTTCAATTGTGACTTCAGTTCCTCACTGAGTACTAGAAGGACTCTGAGCTGAACAGTTCTTACAAATGCATTTACACAATCCTGAGTCAACAAAATGTGACCTCTGCATCCTCCTTTCACTAAATAACCTCAAAGGAAATAATTTGCATTCCTCAAGTGACTATGGGGGTGTGTGTTAAAGGAGCTGAGTCTGAGATATTTTTTCTTTTTCTACTAAAACAGTATTTTAGTGGAATGTGGAGGGTGCATAATTTTTGACCTTTAGAGGCTACAGTTCCATTTAGCAGTATTTTTCTTCTATAGATTAGAAAAATGTTTCTTTTAGCATTTCACCATATAAACAAAATCCATAAGCCAAGGCTTGAGATTGAGGCTCTTGTACACCACCTGAATAGGGAAATGGTTTGAGTGACTACTGCCTGCAGGCATTGGAGATCAGTTATCATGGTGTTTGCACTGGGATCCATTTATACTCTTAGATCTCTGACACATAAAGGCAATCCCTTGGTCACTCAGATCTTTCCTACAGCTATTGTTACAGCCAAAGTCTTAATATATTTACTGTCATCAATATTGTGCTACTGATGGGAAGCTGAATATCCAGACGTTGCAATCTGTTATATATTACTTGTAGCACACCCAATGTTGTTTAAGGATATCTAAACTAATTTATCTTGTCAATGTATCGACTTGGAGAAAGGATGAGTGTTTGGGGTTGTTTGTTTAATTTGAAAACACTATGAAAAGGAAATTTTAAGAAGTGAAGTTGGTAAAGTTATCTGGGAGTAACAGTCTGCTGAAAACTGGTGTGTTGTCCTCTAATCTGCTGTAAGTACAGGTCAGCTTATTTAACTTAAGAACCTTTAAATGCAGTTCAACCTTGCTACAGATTTTTTATCTGTGTCATGTGTTAGTTTTTTTATGATACTATGCTCTGTATTTTTACAAAAACAGTTTCTCGTCCCTGTTTATTGTTGTTAGTGGACTCAGTACTACTGTGAACTTAAGACTTAGGATCATAACTGAAGACATTTGAATACTGGGAGGGGAAGTGTCAGGTGAGGAGGCAATTTAGAAACAGCACTTTGCCAGACTTCCTATTTGAGCCAGCCCACTTGGACTCCCTGAGCCTGACAGAGATTAAAAGCTGATTGTTTTAATTTGTTATACTGTATTTGTCTACACTTCTTCAGGTGTATTTGATCTGTTTGTTGACTTAACTGATTTCAAAAGTTCAAATACTAGTGTTAGATTCTTTATTGGGTATTTGATGGCAGGTGGTAACTTTGTTTTTGATTATGCATGTTATGAAGGGCACTGTAATTCAAAAACTTACTCAAATTTCACTCTGTTTTCTGTCCAAGTAGTACTAGTCAACTCTTAGTCATAAACAAAATCTAGTCTGCATTCATCAGTAAGAAAAAAGAGCTTGAATTTGACTTGAGAACAGCTACACAACTTACTTCTGTAGCTGAGCAAACCTCGGTTGCTCAGCTCTGAAGTCACATTTTATTTTGTCCCCCCTGCCCTGAGCATGTCCTGCTGCATCATGACTACAGAGAGAGAAAGCAAAGACCTCTTAATTGTATACCAGAGTGAAAGGCATTATTTCAATTACTAGAGATTAGCTTACTGAGCAAGTATCTTAAATAATTTCTTCAAAAAGTTGAAAGGTATGTAAATAAGGAATTACTTTAAGTTCATCTAAAGGAGCAGAAAAAGCAGTGCCTCCTCGAAGTAAATGCCAGGACACATGATACAACCACATGTTAATCTTGTGCTTTTTGCCCCCTCCCTCACTCCACCTTCATCACTTACTGATATTTTTTCATACAGTTTTCCTTTTTCCTTCCTTACTTTAAATTCTAAACTATTGCTGTAAGCAACTAAGTTATAATTCAGGAAAAGGGCAATTCTTCTTTCTTACTCCTGCTGTAAATTGTAGGAGGCATATGTTCATCAGCCTGCTTAAGATACTTTCAAACTAGATAGAAGGATTAAATGGAAAATAAACGGTCAAAAGGAGTAGAAAGGGAAGGAGTTTAGAGGGAATGAGTGTACTGCAGGCAGGATGGTATAACAGGTTTTCACCCCTCTGATTTTCAAGATACCAGGTCACATGAGTTATGGCATTAGCTGGAAGTCTTTTTATGAATGCTTGCCTTCTACTAAGCTGTTCAGGAAACAGTAGAGAAAGGTATGCCAGCTTTTTTCATGTCACCCAGCCCTGAAGGCTGCATTTAGAGCACTGATTTGTATGCGTGTGTGTGTGCTTATACATGTATATATTTAAAGGCCACTATCTCTGTAGATGTTGTTAATTCTATAGGAAATTCAAGGAACTGCTTTGTATGTGGAGGTGTTGCTCAGTCTTGGCTGCAACCAGCTGTTTTCATTCTGTTGAATAATAACTCTCAGCTGAAAAAACAGGTTGGACTATTTGAGGAGAAAGAAGTTAATTAGTCTGCATGAAGTGCCATGCTGGGAATTCAAGTTATAGTGGTTTTTGGGACATGGTTTTGGTGAACCTAGAGCAAGAAGTGGCACATAGAAACTTTTTCCTCCTTGAAGAAAGAACCAAGGGAGTAGGGCGTTACTGTGAGCCTGCTTGTGTCTGAAGAAAATACCAATGTTTTTATTTTCTCATTGTTCCTGCTGCAACCAAATTGAATGGCTTTTTCTCTAAACAAAGAGGCATTTTTACATCAACAAAAAATGACGTGCTCATTCTGAAAGGCGTTTACAGTCTTACGTGTTTGATTTAAACCTTCCCTAAAAAGGCAAAATTTCTTGAGTAAAATACCAGCAAGCTTGTTCTTGAGATCCCCTTTTTTTAAACACATTTTACTAGCATTAAAATATGATGATGAAAAGCTAAATGTGCTCTGAGAAAACCTGTGATAACTTGGAAAATCTTACCCTTAGAACTTGCTTTTATAAGTCTAGCATCTCTGTAATACCAATTTTGCATGCTTTTTATCTCTGAATGTATTGTAAATTCGAAATTACTGTTTTGATTAGATGTATTTTTAGCACACAGTATTTTATATGCCTAGTAATCTGGTCATACGAGGATGCAACTTAAAATTAAGGAATCCATCTTGTTATATCATGATAGCACACATGTCACTTGTTTAGACAGCACCTTTTAAGTAGAGGGAGAAAAGTCCCTACTATTTTCATTTGAAAAGCTGTCATGTGTCATTGGAATAAGATTTTTCACATGTACAGTTCATGGGCCTGTAAAGTGAATTGTGAATGTAAATTTTGCTGCTTTAACTTGTGTTGGAGATGTGGAATTGTATAATATTGCAGAAGCACCTTAATATTGAGTTAGCTTTTCCAGACTTGGACAAGTTTGAAGGACTGTGGAGGATAATTTATCAAATGACACCCATATCAGCAACTGGTTAGATGATCTTAAACAGCAGGCCACTAGGAAAAGGAGATGTGTAAAAACAGTTTCACAAAGAGAACAACCAATTACTGACTTAGTCCCTGAAATAATGCCGCTTTTTTTTTTTTAAGGCAGCCATAGTATATATTATACAGGATTGAATCTGCTTTGTAGGGGCCAAGGGCTGTAAAAGATACAGGACCTCACTTAGAAAATAAGCCAGTTAACATGCAGAAGTATCATGAATAATACGAAGCCAGGGAAGTAATGAATATTAAAATTTCCTTTTGCTCCACAGCATTGCCTGTCGACGGTGTGTTGTGGTTGGTAATGGAGGAGTACTTCGAAATAAGACATTAGGGGAGAAAATTGACTCATATGATGTCATAATAAGGTAAATGCCATCTCCTTTTCATTTTGTGTACACGGAGCAATGGGTAATTCTCCAAGGCCAGGTATTCCCTCTGCCCTTCTCTAGTGTCTGTGTTGGAGCCAAATCAGAAGGCTTTGCTTTCTGCTCGAGTGACACATGATAAGCAATTGTGTGACTGTATTCTAAGCCACCTTGGCCAAGTTCCTGTGTGTGCTTGATCCCTCTGAGTTCAGAGCGTGAGTGCACCTGATAATTGCTCCTCTTCTGTGTAATGTTATGCGTAAATGCTGGGCTGCTAAACTTTCCTGTACCCAGACACAGTGTCTGTCCTGCAGACTAATAACACGTGTGGCTGCTACTGCATGGTAGGAACATGGGTGGGGCAGTCACTGTCTCTGTGCCTCTGTCCTCTGCAGAATGAATAATGGCCCTGTGATAGGGTATGAAGAGGATGTTGGGAGGAGGACGACTTTCCGCCTTTCTTACCCGGAATCTATCTTCTCAGATCCCATCCACTACGACCCTAATACCACTGTTGTTCTCATAGTCTTCAAACCACGGGACTTGAAGTGGCTTTGGGAGATACTTGGTGGTCAGAAAATAGTGAGTTCAGTTATTCTTGTGCCTTGGCTCATCTTGCCACACATCTCTTATGGGAAATGCACATTTGCTTTTGACCATAGTACTTCCAGCTGAGAGGAGCTCTGAATTTCTTCCTAGTCAGTTTATTTATTATCTGTGTTCCATAAGTGCTTTGTCTTCTTTCTAATGCACATATTTGATCAGTTCCTCACCACAAAGCAGTTTACCTCTGGGAAATGTATTTTTATCCTCTCCCTAGTGTTGTTTAATATTTTTAACATGCACGCTCCAGACATTCCCCAGATTATTTTACCCTGCGCACTTGCAGGAATGGCAGAATAATGTTAAAAGTGACCTCTCTGAGCGTCTCAAGTCCAAAGTCATTCTGAATCTTCTTCATTAAGGGCTAGGTTCAAAGCCATACCAGGTTCTAAGGGCATTGTCTGAGTAAATTTTGAGTATTTTTGTCCGAGAAATTTGGTTTGTTGTGAGCTCTGGCCCCTTGCCTGTTGTAGTGACCTTCTGCTGTTTGACACTCTCCTGCTCAGAGGGAACCCCAACACAGCATTTGTGGGCCTGCAGGAAGGGCACAATGCAAAGAACTTGAGAATGATAACTTCTGTCTGCCTGTTGTCTGTGCTTTTACTAGCGTGGCCAGCACACAGTGAGCATTTATTGCCTCCAGGGCATATTGTTGGTACATGCTGTCCATCAGGGACCTTTCTGTGAAGCTGTTTTCCAGACAGCTGCTGTGGCAGTGGTGGGTTATCCTGTTGCAGGAGCAGGTGTTTTTGGACTTAGGGAGATTTAACACTCTTCTTCTTTAACCTCATGCCCTTGGAGTTTACACTGGTTAGAGTTGCTACAAAACTAAATTCAACTGTTTTTAGTTGTTAAAAATGTGCATTTACTTTCCTGTCACAGAGCGCAAAGGGCTTTTGGAAGAAACCGGCTCTGAATATGATCTACAAATCGAGTCAAATCAGGATTCTTGATCCCAGCATCACAAGGAAAACTGCTTATGAGTGGCTTCATTTCCCAACAAGGTTTCCTAAGAAAGAGGTTTGCTTTTTTTCTTTGTCCCTTCTGGTTTTATACAACCAAATGTGTATTTAGAGGCAATTACATCCTTATTACAGTAGGCTGTAATATAGCAAACCTTTTAGGTTTGCATTAAAGTAGTTTGCCATTTAGATGGTGCTTAAAAAAGATGGGAGAATGGAACCCAGAAAGAGAGTGGCTAGCCTTGTGTGCCAACAGTACTTTTTTATGTGTTCTGTAATTGGTATGAAATGAGGCTGCTTTCTGGACAGACAAAATGCCTTTAACAGAACTGGGGAAGACAGGCAGGTAGTGCTGCATGACAGATCAAAGAGCTGCTAGAAATAATATAGCATGAATGTTGGGTGTTTAAAAAAAAAACCACCAAGACACAAAAAACAACAGACAAAAACCCCCAAACAATGAAACCTCCACTGAAAACCACAACACTGAAAATAACCTCACACCAAACAAATCCGCCCTCTAAAGTGGTAATTCTAACTCTGCTGCAATTTCACACTCCTGGGGCTGGAGACGGACTAGGGAACATAGAGGGTATTCCACTTCTGCTAATGATGAATGTTTGGCAGCATGGTTGTGCTTCCTGATTTGATGCCTAGCATTGTAATGAGCTTACCAGCAATTTGGACATAAAAATAACTTGCACTTCTAGGTTCCTAACTGAAAAATATTTTTGATGAAAGGTGAAGTATCAGGCTGAGGACCTCCCTTGTGCAGTCAGGATCAACCATGTGCTGTTTTGCAGAGACAGTTCCCTGGGGTCACATCCCTACTTCACCAAGACCACCCAACTGACACATGTGGAAATGTCTGACAAGCTATCACTGTGGAGTATCTGCCACAATTTTTTTCTCTGGGTTACTCTTTCTAATATTTGAGGGGGTGGTGGAGGGGTAGGTTTTGTACCTCTTTCTAAAATTTCTTTCTGTTTTCTGAGCCTAACAGTGGCTTTTTTCTCCTTGACTAACACTCAAATTGGCTTAGCCATTTTGGCTATGTCCTTGCTTTGGACTCTCTGGCATTTCAACTTTACAGCCAAGGGTGGCAATAAAGTAGTATAGAAATTGGATGCCTAACTAATCTCCTAAATGGCCTCCATGGGTCCCGAAATCCCTCTCAGTGGGACTAGATGTTAAAAGCAGTGTTGTCAGTGAGTTAGAGAGATGTGCTTGGTGTCAGCTGGTACAGAGGCACAGGCCCCTTGGTCACCCTTTGCTCCTGTCTTGCCTTTGGGTGCCCCTGCACAGAGCTGGGTTAGTGTCATCATGCCTAGACTCCCCTTCTGCTACCCCTGTATAGATCCTGCTTATTGCATGCTAGGGGTGTTGCAGTCCCTCATCCCTGCTCAGTAACGATCAATGTCAAGCATGCTCTTCCTCCCTTTTCCTCCCATCTTGGAAGTGGGCCATGGCTGGGAGTCTGCACATCTGCAGTGGCCCTGGCACAGCTGGGTTAAGCTGCAGGTCACACCAGGGGTCTCACACTGGGGCCTTGTATACCCTTGCTCATCCTTGGGGAGGGAGGGCTGGTTCTGCCTTCACTGTCCTGTGCTTCAGCCCCCTCTGCCTGCGGGAGATGGCAGTGACTACAGGTGCTTTCCTTGCTGTCCCTGCCTTTTCCATTAAACCAGTCTCACGTTCCCAGTGACCGCATTAGTGCATAGCCAGCAAGCATTTCTGATTGTTAGTAGAGCCAGGAGTAAAATCGAATGTGTTGCCCCAGCACCATTAAACTCAGAAATTGTAGTGGAGTCATTCCAGAGCTGTGCCTATTACCATTAGAAGGCTGAAAATATTTAATTACAGGCCAAGGATATCTGGAAACTGCATGATAGTGTATTTTAAAACTAGTTGCTTTTAAATTATATTCTTTTGAGGTGAATTTTATGATAGCTGAAGGTGAACAGAGCTAATTACAACCTGTGATATTCCTGATATTTCCAAATAGCAGTAATCCTAACGTAGCATTCCTGCCATAGTTTAGGAGTCCTTTTTATTGAGGATGTTGCAACAGAGTCACCAATAAGTTGATGATGTTGGGCCCCAGGGCAGAAAGTTATTTTGCTAACTGGCAGGAGCCCTGAACATAGTGCACCTATTAAGCAGATACTATTTCTGGAATACTCTGAGAATTGCATAAAGGTACCAAAAAATTTTCCACAAAAGGTGATAGTTTATTTCTGTGGCTTCAGTTAGGCTTAAAAGAGCTGAGAATAGTAACTTCTTCCTAGGGATTTTTTGTTGTCATGTGATGTGTTGTCACAAAAAAATACATAGATTGCATCTGCCTTTTCTGTGCACAAAGTTGTCTACTACTGGTTTGTCTGCTTCTTTTTCAGAGACAAACTGAGCCTTGGGTCAGAGTTCAAAAAAAGTCCATAATTTTGTGCTCAGTTTGAGGTTTTACTGCAGCTTCTGAGAGCATATAATAGCTTACTTGGTCTCTGAGAAAAATCTTACTTTAGCTAAGAAGGGTGTTGGTTCCTGAAAGTTTTTTCCATTTTTGGGGCCACTTATTTCACCTTAGCTTTATCTTGGTTGAATGAATGAGTTCATCTCTCTAAAAATACTTGCCTCATTTACTTCCCCAGATCATACTAGCCTCTGCTGCTACTAAAGAAGTCATGTATCTGAACACAAGATAGGGCAGATGGTGGCATGGAGTTTTTTGCTGTTGTAAGAAATCCTACCTTTTGGTTAGGTGCTCTTAATTTTGCACAATCGAGTTCTGTTCGTGTTTATGACATGCTCTTCATTTTACATTGCATTTACTTCTGAACTTACTGTATGGAGAAATAATTTTATTTACAAATTTATTTCTTTGAATGGAGATAACAGGGGAAGGTCTAAAGCAAAATTCTTCTGTATTTTTCCTGCTTTGAAGAAATGCAAATGCAGTCAAATTTGTGTGCTCTTTTTAGTTTGTTGCTGTGAATATTTGGGCATATAATGTTCTGTTCATGATTTAGAAACTTCTGAACACATCTCATAATTCAATCAGATTTAGGGGGATTGTAAATTGTTTTCCAGTGTAGTGAGGCCTGCCCAGTTTTATGAAAGTAGCTGAGCAGAGCAATGGGGAGACCTTCCTGATGCCTCTGGGGAGGGAAGGGCTACACTGTGGACTCGGCCTCACTAGAATCCAAGGAATCCCGGGGAGGGCTGACATGACTGACACCTCAGTCATGGAAAACCTGTGGGGGCAGTACTTTATTCCTTTAGAGACAGGAGGGGATCGACCTGTGAAACCAAACATCTTTAGAAGACCCAGGCTGCAAGGTATTTATGCATGTGTTCTCTTTGTGCTTTATTGTAGAAACCCAAGCATCCAACAACAGGGCTAATTGCCATTACACTGGCATTTCACATATGCCATGAAGTTCACCTGGCAGGCTTCAAGTACGACTTCACTGACAGAAATAGTTCTTTGCACTACTATGGCAATGAAACCATGTCTCAGATGATGCAGGTAACTAACATTTGTGCTGAGAGAAATAGAGCTGGTAACTGGGGAAGGCAATTCAATACAGACAGAAGTGGACTGCAGGTAGAAGGGTCTCCCACCTTCTCCTGGTTCAGCTGCTTGTGGGTTAACATTGCTTGAATCTTTCCCTGTCTTCTGTTGTTTCTGAAAAACGTAGACATTGATCTTTGTGTCCTTATGCTGTACCATATTCTTCTGCCTGTGTGAGATGTCATTTTGTGTGTTGTGTTCTGCTTGTCCGGCTGCACAGCTCTTGTCCTAGAGATGTCTTTGTTAGCACTGGCAGCAGTGTTGTTTCTGTTCGTGTTCTCTTTTTCCTTGGCACCTACTTGTACTGTATGTCATAGCTGTCAAACTCCTTACAAGACAGAAAGAAGAGCAAAAGGGAATGGAAGGAGTTAAGACTTATGAACTTGTATAGGTCTTGCATAGGGAAAGAACTGAATTTTGGAAACTGAAAGTAGAAAAGAAAAGCAGCTTTTGGAGGAGGGTAGGAAGAGAAGGAACTGCTTCCAGGAGGGAGCAGCAGGAGGCTGGAAAACATCAGGAGTGCCTTCTCCCTGCTGCCTTGCTAAGGCTAAGGTACCCCCATTTTCTTTTATATCTCTGCTCCTGTATTCAGTTGCCTTCATCTCTGTATTTCAAGCAACCCTGTCAGCCCTTCACCACAGCGTGAAGTTTTCTTTTCCATTTGCCCAAGAGCCTATGGGTACCATTTTCCTCCTTTTCCATTTGCTGAAGAGGAAGGGTAGAGACAATGTTCATAGGTGCCTTTCATGTTTCTCTCAGAACTCCTAGATGCCTGCTATTCTGAAATAATTTTCCTCTGACACTGAACTTGCCTTCCTTTGGAGGCTCCTCCCTGCAGGTGCTTTTTTGCAACATAGCTTGTTTGAATAAGGTTGAACATTGGTTGAATAGACATCCATAAGTTTCCGAAAGTCTTGAAACTTTAAAAAACAAACTATGGAACAAAAATGTTCCCTTTAGTTCTTCAGTGGTAATAAATTCCCACATATATATGTGCCACAAATATACTGCATCTGTATAATCTTTTATGCAGTATTCATATTATATTCATTTTAATTTACAGGATTCAGTGTCTTAAAGTAAATTTACTTTCCTTGTGCTACTCTCCACTAGCCTTACTGGTCTCCTGTGTTTCCAGGACCTGGATATAGCACAGAAGATGGGTTGGTTTGGGCTTGCTGAACCTAATTGGCAGGATTTATCTGAACCGCAAGTGTTTGATGTGCTTTTCAAGAACCTGCACAGAGCTTTGAAGATAACTTGTTTTCTGACTACTTGTGCTGTAAATATGATTACACAGCTGTTGTTCTGAACAAGCAGGCAAGGAGTTGGGAGAGTTAATAAGGAAAGGATTTCTGTGAGACCACGTCTCACCTGTTCTTATCCCCAAAAGATCATCCTTTTTGCTTGTGTTCTTACAGAAATGTCTAATCTAGTTTTGAGCTACCTGTTTTCTTGGGAAACTGTGCTAAGCCTTTGCTAAGAAGTCTTTTCCCCCAGACCTTTTCTGTTTGTAGCATCTTCCAAGTATCGCAGGTAGTAGAAAGGAACAGCCAAGTGATACTGCTGGTGATAGTTTGATTTTATAATTAATTTTATTATTCCCTCACATCTCTTTAGAATGAGTACCACAACATCACTGCTGAGCAGAAATTTTTGAAGAAACTTATAGACAAGAACTTTGTCGTCAATTTGACATGAAAGCTGAATGAAAAATACAAAGAAAGTCACTATTTTCAAGATTTGAAAAGTTTTTATTTTTTGTATGACATTTTTATTTTTTAAGTGCAGCATAACTGTTTACTGATTAAAGGAGCCCAGAAACTTCATCAAGGCGAAAGCTTCTAAGCCTGAGGGTAATGGACTATTGCAAACAGAGTTAACTGCATTTCTGTGAAGCTATGTAATAGTGGGAAAACCATGAAACTTTCAACTGAAAGTATCAGGGATATATAAAAATGTGATGCACATCACTTACGTATCAGTGAGAGCTCTTTCCAAATGATTAATGCTCTGGAATACTTCTGTTTCTGATGCTGTCCTCCAAAAGTGTTTCGCTGTCAAGATACTGAGATGACCAGTGTTCAGTCAGTAAGGTGGATGTGAAGTCATGACTATCTGTCTTGTATGAAAATGGTTTTAAAACTATGCATCTAAATCATTACTGTGTGTTTTGGAGAAGGGTCAGCATACAGACTGTACAGGTTTTGTTCTGCCATACTCCTGAGGAGAGTAACCTTCAGCCAAGCAGCCACAGTTTCTGCACTGACCATCAACTGAACTTCTGTGCCTTTGCCGAAGGTGAAGACCCATTGTCCGATTTGCGGAGATGTTGGTGTTGACAGTGCTTGAGTTGTACCCATTTTGTGGAAAAATCATACTCTCTGTCCTGTGCATCCTGTAAATTTTGCAGTTGCTGAGTTGACTTAAAAAAGAGGGAATATGAAGACTCAAGAGCTGTCCAAACTACCTGCGTGTCAGCCCCCAGACCACAACAGAGAGACAAACTCGGACAAAGATGTTCATGCCTGAGTTTAGAGTCAATGTTTGTTGGAGTCCTAGTTCTCCAGGACAGGATCTCATGTATTTTTCTGTTTGCTCCTCAAAAACAGTTGGAGTTTTCCAAACGAGGTCAGTCTCCTTCCTCAGATGCTGTAACACATCAATACAAGCAAGGAATACTCCCATTTTTGCAGTAAAGTGCAATAGGGAATATCCAGGATGTACCTCAGCTGAATTATCATTTGGCATCTGTTTACCTCTTCTGTCTTGATACTTAAGTTTGAGATGTGTGCCTGAACTAAATTATTTAGTAGTGGGAATTTACTCAAGATTTTAATTGAAACATTTAATGGGATGTTTATGTTTCCTGTATTGGTTTGTCTCTGACAACCCTATGAATGAAGTAAATCTGCATGGGAAGGCACTTGACAATTGTCAAAGAACAACAATATGCTGTTCCAGTTCTCTCACAGGACATTTACGTAAAGTTATTTATTTTAATTATGGCAGAATTTCTGGAAGGTTTTGTGGTTATCTTTATCAATGACACCTGAAGAAAGCACAATGAAATCCACTTCAAGTTGGTAGGAATACCATTGTTGCTTTTAAATGAAATATATAGAGAGAGTACATTTAAGAGTAATGCAAACAATTGTAATATGAACATAAGCCATGGTATTTTTTATTTTAAGAAGCTGAGGATTGCAAGAGTACTGAACACAATTAATTTTACTGCAGCTATGTAGGGGAATAACCATTTAAGTAACCAAAGAGTCATCTTTCTTGTGGGGTGCAGTAGGTATTAAAAAAAAAAACCAACAAAACTACAAACACCTTCTATAGTTCTCATTTCCAGCTTTAGCTCCTTTGCTCTCTGCCATTTCAGAATTGGGGAGGGTGATATGGTCTGGAGAGGTGCCACAGCTGAAGGGAAAGAGGCTTGTGTTTTCACCCAGTGATTCCTGAGCTTTGGTCTGTTTCAAGCAAACTGGACATACCTAAAATAACTCAAGATGTCAGAAAGATCTGTGGCATGGGGTGGGGAAGGATGCAGGTATGTCCCAGCAAGGGACAGGGTGTGCCATGGTCTGTTGACTGCTGCATGTCCCTTGGCTACAGCTGCACTCCAGCTGTATGCAGGGTGGCAGGTGGGAGTGTGGAGGAGAGAGGAGTGTGGGGGAGGTCCTGGGGCACTGGAACAGGTGACTGTGGTCGTGGAAATGGAGGAAATCACAATTTCTTCACCAGCTGGCAGGGCTCTTAATTTTTTGTATTTCCTTTATTTTTTCCTTAGACTTTGAAGAGGTCTTTGATTGAAAATCTGAACACAAACTAGTGGGGTTTCACTTAAGAAAATAGTGGCAGTATTGTATTTATTTGTCCTGGTTATGAAAAAGGTTTGTATGTGATTGTGCAGCCCCAGATGTAGAGTGATTTGAACTCCTGACAATAGTAATTCCACCAGCAAAAGCATCTGTGGCAAGACTTTTTGCAGACATAGCAGTGTTCTCCAAGCTCTTGTTGCGGAGGAGCCTCTGGTAGATCTTTGTGTTGAGAGCCAAAACTGGCAGAAGTGGGGGGCTGCCCCTTCACCCTCAAAATCTGCAGTTGCTGGGACAGCTGAGGCCCCCAGCTTTTCCAATGGCTGCTGCCACAGTCCAGCTGCATCCGTGTAACATCTTGCAGGATGCTGTCCAGGAGACTTTTCTTCCAGGAGAGCTGTTGAATTTGTTCCAGACACTGTGAGGAGAGTTCCGGTGATGGTGCAGCCTGCATCCCTCTGCTTCTCCACCCCTGTCTCCACTTCAGGAAGTGGGTAGGGAGCTCTGCTTTTGAAGAGCAGAGATACTCATCTCCAGAGATACTCTTCCTACTAATCCAGACTGATTACTTCTCCAATTTTTCTAGTAGATTTTCTGCTTTTTGAGGGGAGGATGGGATTTGGATTCTAGCTGTAGCAGAACAAACAAAATGAAAATGAAAAAGCAGCTTCATGGCAAACAAATGGTGTCTCCTAAACTCTTTGTACTTAAAAAACCCTTTAGTCTTTTTTACTTTTGCCACATCAGCTTTTTGATCTCCCTGAAATATTTTTAAATAATGTTTGGTGTTCTCAATGGATTTAATACATTCTCTACAAGCATTTATCCATATCAGCTGTTTCTTTTTATATCCTAATAAGCCTTCCCATTGTATGACTGACTTACTTTTCAAATTAAGGCATATTTCCAGTTTCTCCCACTTCTGTGCTCCTGCCAGGGGTGTTGTGTCCACTCCACCACAGTTACTGTCCTTGGGTGGCTGGGTAACATTTTGAATGAAACCTGTTCCCTCAGGATCAGGCCAAGAGCTGATGCTGCTGATGAACCATGGGGTGTTTCTGTTTGTTTGTTATCTTTTTTTTTTCTTTTTTCTTTTTTTTTTGAAAGCCTAGCTTGCAGGCCAGTAGCTTTTTTCCTCAGTAATAAGCAGTGAGTCAAGTAATGCGTTTTTCTCCCCACAAGAGGTTTTGTAGGATCCTGTGTACACCAGCCCTGTTCTACCACCTGCTTCATACACATCATTCCTGCTACTCTGCCTTGAGGACAGGTCTTGCTTTGGCACTAACCTCATTCAGGCAGGAATGCCCATGTGTAGTCTGTTTCTCAGCAGTGCTCACAGGTTAGTGTCTCTTCTCTCTGGCACATTTTCGCAGGTGTTTTGCAGTACCAAAGAACTTGACTGGGGCTTTTAGAATAACCCAATAATGCTAACACCAAATATTTAGATAGTTTCTGTGCATGAGCTGCTATTAAGACTTCTTTTCCCTTTTTGCCATTCCTGAAAATGAAGTGTCTGCACTGAAACTTCCCTTCAAAAGCTATCCATTTTTTTATTGTATCAGGAGTGAAGCTGCCAGTTTTATTTCTGTGTCTGATAATGGTGTAACTGTGTAGGTCCCCAGTGTCTCCTGTTATTTTTCTATCTGAAGTTGGATGTTCTCCTCCCTTCTTACTCTGTTCATGTTCTCTGGCAGCCTGTTGAATTTCTAGAGAGCATCACCTTACAGCAAAGGTGCTTCTGCATTTTATCTGCCACCCCTCTCAAAATGCTGCACTGTCAGAAAGACACAGCTCTAGCTATGCACAGAACAGGCAGGATGACACATGTTGGCTGAAAGCTCTGGCTCAGACTTTCAGGAGGTTTCTTTGTTGGGAAACTCTTTTTTCCTCTGCTGTAATAATTAAGGGAAGTCACACGCTATTGCAATAAATATGAATCTGAGACTGCCTAAAAGATGTTACTAAATGACATTTCCAGTGACTATATAGGTGATAATACAACTCTGGTGTTTAATTAGCATATGGTACTTATTGTTTCCATTGCCATGCTTTCCTTTTTAGCAGTGCTCTGGGGGGAGAGTGTAAATACCTTCACTTTTAAGTGGATTCTGATTTTTAAGAACATATAAAGCTCAACATATGTTTTTGGTATTGGGAAATACTTATTTGCCATTTGTCTTAAGTTTTATATGCCTTTAAAGTGCCACCTGTATTTTGAAGAGTTCTTAGAGTTGTTTCAAGTGAAGTTTTGAGTGCTACATATGGCATGAGATTATTTTCCTGTGAATAAACCGTTAAAGACAGTGCTTTCAGACTTATTTTTGCAAGGCTGGTGCTCCATGTGTGAGAGTGGATGTGTGGGTATGCCCAGGGCCATTATTACTGGTGTATAAGGTAAATGGTGTTGTCAGATACGGTACCAAGTTTTGGAACAAACTTTAGTGCTTTGTGGAGCAAACAGCTAAAAGTTTTTGAACCTAGGTGGGCTGAGTTGTACTGTGGCTGTAGTACAAACAGAGCTGGGGCATGTTTTTTGTGGATAAGATCAAGAGCAACATCCTTGTGATTCGAATTTTTCATTGTTTTTTGAATCTTGCTTGTCTTACTGTGGACTGTCAGGGGAATGCTAAAATAAGATATGTAGAACGAAGAAGATCGTGATAAAAAATGTCAGGAAGTTAAAATGTTTTTTGATGCTGAGTGCAGTACTTAGACTTAGCTCATTATTTGTTTTCTCTTTGTGCAGGAAAAATGAGATGCTGAGGACTTCATGGGGTCTGAGGGAGATGGGGATAACAATTCTCTGGCACAGTAGGTATTCAGTGCATTCCTTTCAGTATGGGCAGTTCAGGAGTTCACTAGCTTGGAGGAAATGGTTGTCTTTGAGGTGAGGTGGGGAAGCCACATGAGGAGAGCCAGCATTTCTCATCCTGGGTAGCTAGTTCTGTATTTTCAGGCAACACAGGTCCTTAGCAGCAGCCTCTGTGGCTGATTCTTTGGCTGCCTCTCTGCCTTCTTCAGCTGCACTCCCACGTTGGCTCATGCTGAGCAGTATCTCTCTCCTCAGGCTGCCAGAGGGAGCCCTTCCCTCTGCCCCAGACCCTGCTGTGCCCTCCCACCAAATGGGACACGTTCCCTCTCTGGCTTAGAGCATGTTTTGCCAGGACATGGGAACTAGAGGAAAGGGTGTATCTCTTAATTTTTTCCTTCCTATATCAGGCTGTCAGGGGCTTCAGAAAGCCCTTGAGGTCTGATAAATGCAGCAGGTTGAATGTTCCTTCTGATAGTTCTGAATGAAGACAGAATTGGTTTTCGGTTTTAAAGATATTTAATAAGATATTTTCTTCAAATCAGTACAAAAATTTTAAATACAAAATTATTTGCCTTTGACATATCTCATATATTCTGGGAACATACTGAAGTCACCAGTGTGTCTGGTAAACTGTCCATCCATTCCTGCCACCGTTCCATAAAATTTCTGAGATAAAGCACCACATTATATCACTGGAGTCCTTAGTCAATGTTAGACTGCATTAAACTCTGCATTTAAATAATGGTAATGCCAGTTAAATCCAATCTTAGTTCTGCATGAAAAAATCTAGTTCATTTTTGAATCAAAAGCAGTAGCGGTAGCTAAAGACATTGAGGAAGTGATGAGCACTTAACTCTTTGAACTAGTGCAGCAGTGTGTGATGTGCAGCACTGTACAGGGAACCACAGCAAGCTCCTCTGCCCTTTGGAAACAGAACACTTGTTGAGGTGAGATTAGCACCACTAATGAGCAGACAGAGACTTCGTGCACAGAAGTTACTGTCCTCAAGTACAGAAAAGTTTTGGGGCCTGCAGGTTCTCCTTGACAACTGGTAACATATAAATAAGGATTGGAAATCAGCTTTTAGATAGAACCAAGTTCTCAGATAAATTTGTGTGATCAGTATTGCCAGTAAAGTTATTGGTTGATCTCAAGCAACAAATCAGTTAAGCAAACAGAGCTACTTCTGCTTTACCTAGTCATTGAAGAGCAAACTGATTCAGATTTTGCTGAGTGGCAGAATAGGCATCTCTTGTGACAAGCCAAATGGGTTCTTGGTACAAGCACAGAAATCCAAGCAAATTTATGCCACCCTGAAGTATTGCCATATGTTGGCCAAAATGTCTCCATGATGAGGCACCAAGTAAATGGGAGAGATTTACCTCATCCACTTGAGCTGTGTGAATAGAAAATGGAGATTTTTCAAGTGCTCTGGCATTTGGAGGTGAAACCAGTCCCTGCTGGAGTCAGTGGTGACATTTTAAGTCCAGTGACCGCTGGAGAAGGCTCAGGGGCAATGGTCATGCCATCAGAATTCCTCTTCCATCATAAATAAATGGTTCAGGAAAAAAACACACCTGCAGGATTATTTTACTACAGGAGAAGAGAAATACAAGTCTCCAGCTAAGAGAACCTTTGCTTGTCAGGCAGATGAGCTGTCAAAAACCCAAGAAACCCCCCACCCAAATAAGCCACTCAAATTTTTTAACATAATTAGACACTCACCTACTCTTGCTTAGTCACTGTTTTTCATCTCATAACTATGATCAATGCAACAGGACTGAGTGACATACACTGATTTGAACTTTAGTACTGAATTACTGTGAATGAACTTAAGTAAGCATGGCATTGCAGAAATATATAATGTACAGCTAATATGTCCCCCTTGGGTGCAAAAAAACTGCTTATGAACCTGATACACATCTTTAGATATGTTCACCACACCTTTTTTTTATAACTAGCTGTGCATAATGTTAAAGTTTGTATTTATTTTTTTGTTTTTGTACAAGATGGTCCAAAATGGTCATAAAAATGCATCTTTTGTGGTGTAAGTTTGAAGCAGAGGAGAAAGGTTTTGATTTTGTGTGTGTGTTGTGTGTGTGTCTGTTTTGTTTTACATGGGATACAATAAATACCCTGAAAATGACGAATGAACGTACTGCCCGGCGTAGAGTCCTGCTGCCTGCTCGGATGGCATCTGAATGTAAACCTTGTCTCCGTGCATCAGCTGCACCACGGCACTGCCCGAAGCCTGGTCCAGGAAGCCCTTCTTGTACTCGTCATAGGTGTACATGAGCGGCTCGTTGTTCTTGTACAGCGCCACCCACACATTGGCGCCTTTACAGTGGACGTGGTAGGCGAAGTAGTAGACGCCGGGGATCTCGCAGGTGAAGATCCCAGTCTGAGGGTTGTAGTTCTGCCGGCCGTTGTACAGGAGCTTGTCGAACTTCACGGGCACCCCGACGCGGGGGAAGGGCGTGAGGAGCTCTGCCGTGAACGCGGGCATCTCGTAGACAACGCCGCCAGCCTTGCCTTTCTTGCCCTTGGAGCCGTAGGGAGGCTTCACGCCGTCTATCCCTGGCCCCACCTCAGGCAGGTACTGTCCCACGGCTGGCGGAGTGGGCGGAATGATGACCGGGGGACCTGGCGGCCCGGGGGGGCCCGGTGGCCCCTGAAGCCCCGGCTGGCCAGGAGGACCGAGAGCCCCAGGTTTTCCTGGGGGTCCCTGCAGCCCCGCAGCACCAGGTTTGCCTACCCCAGGGAAGCCGGGGGGGCCGGGCATGCCCGGCTCGCCCTTGGCCCCTGGCAGCCCAGGGGGGCCGATGGGACCACTGGGTCCCGCGATGCCCGGGATGCCCGAGGGGCCCTGAAGCCCTTGGGCACCCGGGAGCCCGGGCTCACCCTTTGGCCCCACAAGCCCTGGGACACCCGGCAGCCCCGGCAAGCCTTTGTGTCCGGCTTCCCCCTTGGGTCCTGTGGGGCCCGGCAGCCCCCGCAGCCCAGGGCCACCCACTTCCCCAGGAAAGCCTGGCTTTCCCGGGAAACCCTGCAGGCCAGGTTCTCCCTTGGGGCCGACTGGTCCTGGTGGCCCTACGGCACCCCCTTCCCCTTTAGGCCCTGGGAAGCCGGCAGCCCCCGGGGGCCCCATGATGCCCGGCAGTCCTGGCTGACCGGGCTCCCCTGGTGGCCCTCCCATGCCAGGGGGCCCCGCGTGCCCCTTCTCCCCCTTCGGCCCCAGAGGGCCAGGCAGACCACCCACACCTCGCTCCCCTTTGGGCCCGGGGAAGCCCGGCTTCCCAACCCCAGGGAGGCCGGGGGGCCCCGGCAGGCCTGGCAGTCCCTGCTCCCCTTTGCCACCTGGGAAGCCAGGTTGGCCAGGCATGCCGTCCTGGCCTGGTTTGCCAATGCCAGGTGGGCCAGGGGGGCCTTGGATCCCAGGTGCCCCTGGAGGCCCCTGCAGCCCTAACTCTCCTGGAGGTCCGGGTTTGCCCAGGGGTCCCTGTGGGCCAGGGAAGCCAACCATGCCTGGTTTGCCGACCCCTGGTAGCCCCACGGGGCCAGGGGGACCAGGCAGCCCAGGTGGACCCTTCAAACCTGGCAAACCCGGGATCCCGACCCCCTTCTCCCCTTTTGGTCCTGGGATCCCAGGGATTCCTGGTGGCCCCTTCATCCCAGGCTCACCCTTTGGCCCTGGTTGCCCCTGCAGCCCTGGAGCACCTGCTTTCCCTATGCCAGGAAGTCCGTGAGGCCCTGGTGGTCCTTGTGGTCCAGGTATCCCCATGGGCCCAATCTCCCCCTTTGGCCCCATCTCCCCTCTTGGCCCTGGGGGCCCCATGACCCCTGGTTTTCCTGGCATCCCTGGCAAACCCGGCTTTCCAATTCCTGGGTATCCTTGTGGGCCTGGTTTTCCTTTGGCTCCTGGTATACCATGACCTGGCAATCCTGGTGGCCCTGGTGGCCCTCTTGGTCCAGGCTCACCCGGGGGGCCTTGCTCACCCCTCAGACTGCGCATAGGAATTTCTGGGCCAGGAAGAAAAGAAAAAGGGGAGAGAGAGAGAGAGAGAGAGAGAGAGAGAGAGAGAGAGAGAGGTAAAAGGTGATTGCAGTAATATCCTTCAAAAAACAGTTTTGAGTTGAATACACTTTTTACAATGCCTTGTGGTTTTGCGGTAGGCAGAGACAGCTAGTGAGTTATAAGTTGGTGTTGAGAATGAAGAGGATGTTGCTACTGTTTTTCATACTCCAAACTTCCATGTATGCTTCTGTTTCCACAAATTTTATATATGTGCATCACATGTAAAGGCCATTTGTGCTTTGGTGGTGTTTTTCACCTATACAATCTTAAACAGCAAAATCTGCATTTTGTCCCATGTTGCTGTAGATCAATCTACGTTTAAGAGCTTTTGCAGAAAATTCAGTGCTCTCATGCTGTGGGAAGAATCCTGGCATAAAAGTGCTTTTTCTGGAGGGGCTTAAATGAGCAAGATCAAAAAAGATTGTATCTGTAAGAAGTTTATACTTCTGTATACTGTCTGTATTTTCCCCAAAGGCTTTCGTTCCCATTAGAGTATTACTGGAAACCTGCAGCCTTAATCAGTATTGCTCTTTTGGCAGAGTCACGTCTAGTTATAGTTCTTCTAAACACTTTTCAAAATGTTTGTATTGTCCAAACCTACATTTTTGTGGATACGACCACTTATCATTGCAGGTCAGGGTGGGGAAGTTGCTGCTGGGGTTGGTTGCTTTTCAAGCTGTAGGCTTTTTGGGTTAAGTGAAAACTCCTTCCGGCTCTAAAATGTGTAAAGAAGTGAGAGGTTTGAGGAAGGACAGGAGATGAGGTTTCAGGACAAGAGAATTAACTGTTCTTTGGGAGACAGAAGCCTTTCCTCTCTGCCTGTGTTGTGTTCTATGCACATCAAAAATCTTTGCTCATGAGATAGGTTGATTTTGCTAGAGCCAACGGTGCTTGTTAAGACACTCCAAAAATAGGCCCTGAAATCTTTCATTTCCCTCTGAAGTCAGTGGAGGCTGTGGTTAGCTGGAGTTTCAGTAAGACAAAGTTACACACCTTGTCTGCAGTTGCACAGATGCTCGTGGTCCTCACAAGGATTTTATTACACTGGGTGCCCCTGGTGCCCACCCTTTGTATTTTGGACTTTTTTTCTTGTTTTCTTAATTATCTTAATACTTCCTTTACTGAATAGGGAAAGTGCTTGTACGTGCAGACTTGTGCATTAATCCTCTGTTCTTTCAATGCTTTTGTTACATCCATAAATAACTTACAGAAAGAGGACTCCAGAGTCTGAAGAGCAACTGTATGTTTTTATCTGCAAACCTCAAAATCACAGGGTCTGGACAAAGTCAGACAAAACAGTGATTTTCCCATAAATTCAAATCGTGGGGCTCCTAGTTCATATGTCTGGTTGTTGTAGTGAGAGTGGGAGCAGATCCAGACAGGACTCTGGGCCATCATTTGAAACCCCATCAGAGGGTCTCTTGCAAACAGGTGGGATGACAAGGTTTTTCCTTGAGTTGAACAGCACATGAGCAAACTTGTGTGCTGCAGGCTCATTGCAGGTAGGGGTGCTCAGAGGCTGTGCTGCAGCCCAGAGGATGACTGTGGTCTTGTGCTGGCGACCCTGAGCTGCCCCACAGCTCCCATGAACCTGTTTTGTTCACCTGTGGCCAGGTACGAGCCTGGCCAGTCCTTTGGGCACAGGAGCACTGTGCCCAGCCTGCAGCAGCAGCCTGCTCCAACATTCAATTTCCCCATGGCAAGCAGTGCTCTGGCATGCCGGATGGGATGGTGCAGGAGTGGGGAGGGACATGCTCACCTACCTTTCTCTTTCTTGGGAGCCATATCCTTGCCGAGCATGGGTATCTGCGGGACCTCCTTCCTGTACTGGGGCAGATGGGGGTACTCCTTCCCATAGGGCATGTGGGGCACCTCCTTGCCCAGGTGCTGCATCGGGATGCTTTCTTTGCCCAGTGGCATGTGAGGTACTTGTTGTCCGAGGGGTTGGTACTGGGGCACCTGAGGTGGCAGCTGCTTGATCCCATAGTAGGCACCACCTTGAGCAGACCTCACCAGCTCTAGATAAACAGTGGCAGCCACTGCCAGCAGCTGCACAGGGAAGAGCAGCATGACCATCACCTGTGAAAAGCAACACAAAGCACAGCAGCAACACAGTTGGCTGAAGATGTTCTTTTGTGTTTTGTGCATTCCCCGTTAGGGCAAGCTGTTCTCATTTTATGCAGCAAACTGGCCCTGCAAAGTGGCCCTGGTTTCTGTGCTACATCCTGTAGCAGACCAGTATCTAGGTTATTGGAGGCTCTACTCATGCAGTGCTATTACAGCAAATACCCTTTTATGTATTTCGTTTTATGCCACCCCAGAAGTGCCCTCTGTGTTACTCCACACAGGGACGTGCTCCCAGTTTGTTGCCTTCTCACCTGTGTCAGTGCCACAGCACAGCTTTGGGGAGCTCTGCTGCAAGCTCTGGCACAGGGGAAGAGCAGGCAGAGGATGTGGGGATCTCCTAAATGCATTCTGCCCGAGGAAGCTATATTGTCAGTGCCCCTTCTGCTTTCCACAGCAATGAAAGCTCTGTTTCTGAGCTTAAATCTGTGCCTGGGATTATGCCCTGTGGCTGCAGTGTCCAGGGGTTGTCTGTTCCTTTCACAGCTCCTTGCCAGCTCTCCTCTCAGCTGGACTGAGATCTTCTCGGGCTCCTCCCAGAAGAAGTGGGGCTGGTTAGGCTGCCACTGCTCCACGTAGGACCAGCCAACCTAACCCTTTCTCTGGCAGTGTTCAACTGTTTTCTAAAGGTCTCCCCACTGCAGATCCTGTCCCATTGCAAGGCAGCTCATCCCCGCCCCCCAGCATCTCACCAGTCCTGCTGCCACAACAGAACGGGGTTGGGCTTTCTTTCTTTTACTTCTTTATCAAACTGTTAGCTAAGGATTTCTTGTCCCTGCTATTGGCTTTTCTTTTTGCAGTTAAAGGTATTACCACCAGCTGAGCAGCAAATTAGGAACCGGGAGCTCCCTCAAGTAATTTAAATTAGGGGAGAGCATGTGGTAAAAAGAGACTCTGTGTGTTGGAGTATTTTGCCCCACAACCAAATCTGGCATGCAAGTTTTCAAATACACATGGCGGCCCTGATGGTTGTTGCCACTGTCCCTTTTTTCTACCATACAAAGATGCCTTGTACCCAACCTCGTTGCATTTCTGGGTCATTTGTACATTCCCTATGCATTTCCAGGTCATTCGTGCTCCAGAGCTTTGCCAAACTGCTTGTCAGGACTTGCTCTCAGCAGGCACTGTACTCTGGTGTGATGAAGGTGGCCTGAAGAGGTAGCAAGGGCTTTGTGCCACCTGCTTATTTTCTTGTCCTTCCCCAGCAGCCTGGCTTGACATAGAGGGCCAAAAAGTACCTCAGTCTGTGGCAAATGGGCTCAGCACTGTGCCCCCATGTCTGGGAAGTATCTTTTATGGGGACAGATTTTCCCCTGTGTGTCCTCCAGGTTTTATGTTTAGCTCCTTCTTGAAGTTTTCCATTCACTTCACATTAGCAAAGCACCTGGGGAAGTGCTTGCTGCTCTTTTAAAACATTTTTTCTTCATTCTGCTCTATGAGATTTAATCTCTAAATGGAAATCAGTGTATAATCATTACTGAAGGTGTAAACGGATGCTAGATCAAAATGGTGTAGTTGAAACAAAAAGCAGAAGGTTATTTTCAACAAAGATCATATATAGACATAGGAACTACAGAAAAGATGGAAATATATGTTAACAGCAAACCAAACATTTTAAGAAAATGAGATACTATGAATAAACACTAGATGGAGCATATGTTGCACAGCTGAGTTTCTACAGTCACTTTCCCTCCCAGGAATTCTTGGATGTAACCAGCTGCCATGTGGCAAAGAAAACCAGAGCCAAGATGTACAGGAGTTTGTAAGCGTAACTAAAGCCCAAGCACAGTCGCTCATCCTTGTTCAGCAAAGCATTTCAGCAAATGCTTCTCCTCCAGTGAGTTTAATGTGGCTTTTAGCCCACAGCTGGCTGTGCTGCTGTTAGCTAAAGGATTAGAGCCTTGGGACGTGGTATTTCTGCTTAAAGCTCAATGGTGAGCTTTGGAGGGGGAGGACAGCCTGTACATGATCAGTTATTGTGGCTTCGCTGGGGTGTGGTGACTGAACTAACTCCCTGCAGCTTCATCTAGGTACATTGACCCTTAAGCAGCCTCTTTTTTTGGTGGGGGCGAGGGGTAGGGGGAATGGGGGAGGCAGGGATATGTCCCCCGTCTTGTCGTTCTTGGCCTTCCTGCTCCTTTCTGTACAGAAGGAGTAACTTGCAACACCTTTGCCTCTCGGTAGCTGAATAGGGTAATGCCTGCCCAAGTTTGCAGGGAAAATCCCAGTTACGGGAAAATTTGCAGTATTCTCTGCATCTCTCTCAAAGGAAGAACATTATCTGTATGAAGGGAGAAATGCAGTGAAATCTTTTAAAAACTTATAAGCTACTGGGTGATATAGGACTGTTTATGAAATCTACTAGTATGAAGGGCAAGGTGGATTTTGAAGAATGAGGTTATTAAATTAGCATCTGGCTACTTTGTTGTTCTGGTGGCCAGTTTTGGGAGGTTGTTTTTTTAAAAAAGGTAACTTCAGTGGAATAAGTAGAGGGGAAAATAGGTAAAATTCCTTTGGATGAGATTTTCTCCTTGTTTTTATTACAAAACATGGATTTTGTGTGCGAGCGGGAGGTATTTGAAATAATTGAAAAAACTTTCCTTCGGGGAGACTCCAGCCTGCCTGTAGCTCAGGGTGAACTCGGCCTCCTGCTGCTTGTGCCAGGCTGGCCTGGCCCTGCCAAGTGTCATGCAACACACCTGCACTGGAACAGGCACCACCACGAGGTACGCGAGATGGTTTTGTCTCTGCACATGGAAATTTTGAGGGAGATCAGGCAGGACTTGTAGACATAGGAAGGCTCCAGAGAAGGAGGTGATCTCACCACATCTGTGTTTTCTGTAGTGTTTTTTGACTCATCCATAACGCAACCAGTGTGGCCTGGAAATGACAGATTGCTTTTCATCTATTGATTTTGGCTGGGGCTGGTGCCTGTGACTAGCTGAGATGGAAGGTGGGGGTTTATTTACTGAACAACCTTGGGCTAGATGGGACTTGGCTGACATATTTGTGGGAGGAGGTCAGAGGCCTCCCCTGTGGCCTCGTGAGCTGTCTGGGGCTTGGGATCTGCTGCAGGTACTGGAGACACAGCCTGTGTTTGGTATGGTCTGCCCAGCTCGTCTCCCCCTGCTCCCAAAGGAAGGAGGGATCAGACACAATTAGTCTTGATGAGAAATGTGGTAGAGTCATGTGTGCTGCTACTGAGTTATTGCTGTCAGATACCATCACTACAGGGAAAGCCTGCCCAGAAGCATGAGGGATGCTGGGAGTAGTCCTTCAGAGTTTCCACTCATTACCTCTCATCCTACTCAGCTTCTCTAAAAAGTTATTTATGTACTGAGAGAAGTTGAAGGTGTGTTTTTTCTGCCTTGCAGTTTGTTTCTGAATGCCTGGGTGCACAGCTCTAGTTTAAAGACCTCACTAGGAAACCCCCAGCATCTTTAAATGCCTAAAAGCTACTGAAAATCTTAGTATTGATTTTCAAAAGAAGCCTGTAGAGCCTAATTGTTGGACAGGTCCTCCAGAGTTTCTGAACAGCAAAAGGATATGTTTTCCCAGCAGTGACAGAACTCAAGGAAAACAGTGAGAAGGAGAAAAACCTGTGTTGAAGATTCAGCCCAAGTGCAAGACTTCCCACCCCCTTCATCCAAATCCCAGGAATTCAGGGATCACCTCCAGACCTATTCACATAATATGATCTGACATGCTTTCAAAGATGACTATTGGTAGAGCAGTAATTTGGCTTCAGATTGGGGTTTTCCAGGGTTTTTGTGAGAAAGCAATAGGAATGTGTCTATGTATTTGTGGCAGGTTAACAAGGGCATGTGTGCACCTTTAGAGAAGCCAATGGCTTGGAGAAAGCAAAGTTTTACTGTAACTTTGGATGTTGGAAGGAAGATGGAGAAGACGAACCACTGAGCCTTCCCACCATGTGATGTAATTTTGCACCAGTCATTCAGATTAAGCCACAACAAACATTTTGTCTTACATAAGGTGGGACAAGACACTTGAGGGTGAAAGAACATTATCTTAAACCACAGTGTTCAGTTGCTTGTGTGTGAAGGCATCTGGTTGGCTCTGTGGGTAAGAGTCCCTGAAAAAACACATTTTTACAGGCAAAGCTTAAATGAGAACATTTCTCAATAATCTCTTTTCTCAGCTCTCCTGAGAAAACTATAAAGGACCTTCGTCTGGCTATTTGAGTTTGTCAGCAGAAACAGGAGACAAAACAAAATGTACCAGCAGTCATAATTCTTAAATTAGTGTGAAGAAATAATGGCTGTTTTAAGCCTAATTATGTAAAGAATGTATGGAAAGAGTGATGCCCATCCACTTGGGACTTGAAATCATAGGTGGTCTTACAAAGAGTGGAAACTAGACCTTGATTTATTGGTTCTTACAGGAAAGTCATTACTCTGCAACCAATGTTGGGTTGTCTCAGAATTTAAAAGATACTCACCCAGAGACTACCCCCATGGGCTTAATTTACCAGCCCTTGCTTTTGAATTGCTGTATTTCCCAAACAAGCGTAAGGCATGAGTAGATCTCAGTGACCTGAAGTTTCTTCCCTACTGTCCCTTCCATAGGGGCTGCCTGAAGCTGCAGGGACCAGTTCCCCACTGCACTGGGGGGATGGCCTTGCTAGTGCTCTGGTTTCCACATGGAAAATGACTGCTGCAAAATGAAAATCCTAGTGACTCTGGAGATTTTGTTCCCAGAAGAATGCTACTAAAAATTGAGGATAAAAAGCTAAATTCTCCAGGGTGTTTTTATCTTGATATCAGAAGTGATTAGGGTGACTTCTAGGGTGACCTTGATAACAGATCCTATTACCAAGTATCTACAATGGCATATCCAGGAATGGCTCTGCTGTGCCAGGGACAGGAGATCCAATCACACAGGAGCATTGTACACCTCACTAAAGTGTCTGTCATACAGAGACATGCAAGAGCAGT